ACTGAAATTTGTGCTAACTCTCAATCCATCCGGAATATGTCAAGAACAGACTGTGGGCCGGATTACCCACCTTTGGACTAAGTAATTCCCGAAGCAGTTGAGAGATGAAACCAATGCTTCCGGTGCCCACTACTCAGCACAAGCTTCGTGATGCTTCAGACGAAAATCATACTGTTCGCGGAGTGCCAGTCGATAATTTATTTGTTGTTACGTATAATGCCAATCTGAAAAAAGTACAACTCACATTGATTTTGAGATTGGCTTCACGGTAGGTGGTGTAAAATTCATAATCTAATATATATAGACGATCGTGACTGACTGACTGACTGACGCTAATTCTAACCATGTTCCAGAAGAGTTAGAAATCTAAAACGTGGTACACATGTACCTTTTGGTGTGCAGAGTTCAGAAAAAATCCGACTTTGGAGGTTCATGCCCTGGGGGTACAAATTTTGGGGGAAGAAGTTTTTTTTAAAAATATTTATCGTGATGGATAAGGATGTCATCGAAAGCTACCATTGTTCCGAGTTTCGGTGGTGCAGTGGTAGCACATTGGACCGGTAATCGTAAGACCAGGGTTCAATTCCCGGCCATTACCTGCCTTTTTTGGCTTCTCTTGCCTTCCATGTCCCGTTGGACATGGAAATCGTAAACGAGGCATGGACGTGCATACCGACACGATGAGATAAGGAAAAATGCAAAAAATTTCATCCATCCCCTGGGGGCATGGATTCAGCAAAGCGGAGGGTGCAGGAAAGTTTAAATTTGGCAAAGAAGTACCTGATGAATAGCAGAGTAAAGAAACAATTCTACTTTCATATTATATATAGACGATCGTGACTGACTGATATAAGTAGCTATTCACATGCTGAGTTCAGGAAAAATTCCACTTGGTGATACACGCCATAGGGGCACACCTTTTCGCGGAACATATTTTAAAAATAGTTCTCTTTGCTTCAAACAAACGGAGACCCATGGAAAGCTGTAACATGGCAAGAACGTGACTGGTGAAGCACTCAGCTCAAATGTCAAATTTCCAAAATATTTTTAGTGTGCATATTTCTTGGGGACGTAACGTTTTAAAGAATTTTTATTATCCTAGCGAATCGGGCAGAAATGGAAAAATAACAGCTATCGCACGCATAACGGACGTGATGATGATTGAAGAAAAAATTCAACTTTTGCTGACCATTTCCCCAGAGCACAGCTTTTGGATGGCTTGCTTATCTAAATATATTTTTTATCGTCAGCAAAAAGGGGAAACGTATAAGGCTGAAACTGGGTGGCATGGAGTTCCCTGAGTCTACATTTCAAAATAATAATAATAATTCGTTAGCACCATTAGTGCACTTTTTTCAGTCCCATTTTCCTGCTTATTTTTGATCCAACGAAACAGAGACAGGAAATTTAAACTTCCCTCAGAAGTTCACCATCAAACAGGTACTCAGATGGCTGAGTAAAGGAGAAATCCTAATTTTGAAAAATGTATCCTCAGCGTAGATTATTGGAGGGAAGTTTTTCAAAATGTATTCTCCACCCTTTCAAAGAAGGACACAAGAAAAGATCTCAAGTTAGGCACACAGAATCATGGAGGTAATGATTTTGATGAAAAAAATCAAGACATTCGACCCCATATGTCACGTATGTCAATGGGGACGTACTTTAAATACGTGTTTCCCATTTCGCAAAAAATGAATGAATTAATCACTATCCAAGGTAAGGGAGCGCCGAAGGCGCGACCATAGCGAGTTTGTTTGCCCGAAGGGCAAACAAACTCGCTAGTTAAGTATATGCACAAAGGGGACGACTGCGCGCGTTGAAGTGGTCAACGAGAACGGTCAGCGCGTTGCAACGTACGATGAGATCCGCAACTTCTCCTCCTGCTACTTCAGCGCTCCTGAGGCGATGTAGTGCATCCTTAGAAACCCATTGCACGGCTCATCCCATAACATAGTCGCCCTGGCAGTTCCCGTGCTAGATATTCGACCTGTAGTTATTGAGGAAGAAAAGGAGAAGGGTTTTCGTCGGGCAAGTGCTAGAAACGAAACAATGACTGCTTGGTCGATGCGGCGCGCGAGTTGGGCCTCATCGAGGAAAACGGGGAATGGAAGCGATGTATGGCTGACGATACACTGTACGTCATGCCTGGACGCTGCGCGGGTTATGAGAACTGATGCTCACTCACTGTATTCCCGCCGATCCATTCCGCCCTTGGAACGACAACCGCTGTGATATGACTGACGACTTTGACATTGCCGGCGGTGGTGATACTGAAGAAGTGGCGAATGCGTTGGCGCTGAGGAAAGATGCTACAAGCAGGGACCTCCTGCGCTGAGACGGGACTGCCTGTACCTCCAGATGCCGAGAAAATTGTTCGTGCAGTGAGATCCGAGTTGATAGAAGAGCGGACCCGCGGCAATTTCATTGTGAACATGGCAACAATGATTCCAGAAAATACAATCACCTTGGGTCAATATTAGGACCATAATGGAATCCAACATGTGCGACGGGGCTCAAAGTTGGCAGGCGTCATTGGATCTTTGAAGACCTGTCCCTCGGCCTCATGCGAAACCAACATTAATCGCAACATTGGGTTAATGTAGAAAGCTCACGTTAGACCACTATTAAGCTCTCATATGCACAATTACTTTCAGGCAGCTTGAAGAGGCCAAGAGTAAGCGTGTATACTTCTCCATAAATGTTCTGCTCCTTCATCGGGAACCTTGCTGATGAGTATGATCCTCTCGTCTCGTCTCACTGGCATAATTCCTACAGCGAGAACGACTAGAACGAGAGGGAGATTACATCAGATTCCTGTGAGACAAGAACGTATTTTTTCCTGCATTGGATTTTACCTGTTGATGATTACTTCTTCACTGGAAAAACATGCTCAAAAGTTATGCCGGACTTATCAGGCGCAATAAAAATCTATTAATCCAAGGACATTCCCAAATCATGATCGATAAAAGGAACATAGTCGCTATTGATATTTACTTGATTCCTAACTCGCATTGCATCTACATGGAGTTGGCAGAATTCATCGCTTTACCTTTGTGATATGACATGTCCCCATTTCTATCTTTATGCAGAACTCCAAGGATATTCGCCGCCAGTATCTCATGAAACAAGAGTCCAACTCGGTGGTCCTTCAGTAAGTTGATCTCTCGTTCACTCCAAAAGGTGACGCTAAAATGAGCATTAAAATAAGCAAGCTAGTTATTTGCTTATTGTAAGATTTTTAGTATGTTGGGCACCTCGATATGGGAAGTGCGAAGGGAAATGCAATATCTGGTATATTTTATAACCTGGCAGTCAACGTCACCACCAGACTTAATAATTCCCCATTTCAGTCTGATCAACACAGAGATTTGGCATGAAGTGTGAAGTTCTCTTTAAAATATGCGCAACGCATTAACTTCGTTCACTATTAATTCCTAAGTTTAATGCTGAGCAAGGTGATCTCCCACCTTTTTCAAACAAGTCCAATTCTATAAAAATAAGTTAGGTACTCCATGTGATCACCGAAAAGTTGGAATTCGTCTTGCGTACAATGGACACAAAATTCCTCGTTTCATTCTCCCCATGATAGTTCAATTAGTATTATTCTTCCTGCTATAACAATGTCACCCTTAATTGCGTAATAGAGATATAGGTTGCGTTTACCCATGATTCACCTTCATCGGAGTAAATATGCTTTAAAGTTAAAGAAATAGGTAATTTTTTGGAACTGAAAATAATTGAAATGACGACTTATCAATTGATCGTTCAATTAAGTTGCTTTAAAGCAGGTGTGATGCATTTTTCCCCGCAAGTAGTCTCTTTGTAAAATTAAGTCAGCAACCTTTTCCCTACCACTCAACTTGTAATGCAGGTATTCCAATGCCCATGAAGCAGGCAGCTGTTACCTTTGATCTGCGGAACTCCCCGCGCCTCAAGGGGACGCTCTGTATCGACTAATATGTGTTTTGCCGTGATCACCGATAAATATGGCATCTTGCGTGTCATCGACTTTAAGATGCTTCGATATTCTTTCTGCCATTTGGTACGAATTGTGTCATTCACTGCTGTATTTCCTATTTTCCTTTTAAATGGTACCGTTGATTACGGAACTTAATCTGTACAGTAAAATGTTTGGAGAGATGTTTTCGCTTTTTTAAGTTCTCTGTACGTGACGGTAAAACTTTGCAATTTGAAAATTAATGTATTCTATTCGTTGACATAGGGTAGAGGCACCAGTTTGTGGACGGGAACCTATTTGTGGACAGTTTTCCTTTTTTGCCATTTCTCAAAATTCACGCCGAAAATTTACTTCCTCAAGTGCTCCATATTTTGCCCATGCCTGTTAGCCACCATATAAATTACGCATACCCATCAGAATGAGTGAACCTATGCATTTTCGTTTAGTTTTACACGTCGCACCCCTGAATTCCTTAATTTTTCCAGTGATATAACTTAACAGGACATGATTGAAGATGAATAAACCTGCCGTAAATGCCATACCCATATTTTTCTATTTAGCCTACGCACATTCATAATTGTTGAAAAAAACTGGTGTTCACAAACTAGGTGCATGGATGTCCAAAAACTGGAACCAGGCTGTCCACAAATAGGGACACGTCATAATAAACACATCAATTTAAACAGCTTTTGCTGGAAAATTATATTTTTATTATTTCATTTTATGGTATGGGCATCAAAGTATAAGTGGCCTCCCACAGTAACCAATCAAGCGCTTTTTCGGTTACCCCAACGACCGTAATGAAATTTTAAAAGGAAAATTTCCTTAACGTATCCACAAACGGATGCCTTCACACTATAATCTGAATTCTCCAAATTAGTTCCATAAATCCATTGGAAAAGGTATTCTATCCTAAACATGAAGAAACCCTACTCATTTTGCTATAGCGTAAGTAATGAGACATGCTATAGGGAGGGGTTTCATAGCAATCATATATGTCATAATCATGTGACAGGTTCCTTCTTCACAGAAGAAAAAGGATATGCTAACATGGGACAGGATCAGAAAGAACCGGCTGAAGTTGCGAGATGATTTTAATTTGGACTTCCTTGAGTTGCTTCGTTGCTTGAGTGATAAGGGTGTCTTCGTAAACATCGAGGTGCAGCAAATACGTAGCAAACTTAGCCTCAAACAGCAATTTGATGAGCTCTTCGACCACCTCACATCAAAGAATCCACAACAATACGTCCCCGTCGTCCTCCAGGCACTCGCTGACATTGGCAGAGAGGATATCAGGGATTTCTTGCAAGGTATTTGGATTACCTGCTAATAACACATCATTTCCTCCCACATAAGATAATCCTGCAGGTTTAAGTGAAATATGCTTCATAATGGTGTAACTCATTTTCTCAGAATTGTAGATTGGCCCATTTGCCCGTGTGCAGGCTGAGGATTGGTCGGACAACTCTCATATAATCCACTTGTGTGGATCAAAACGGCATGACTCAGTGGATGCTTGCAAGTTATCCTCAGTCCTATTCTTTGTTTCCATTCATTTAAGCAACCGATTAAAGGTGTCAATACCAGTCAATGAATGCTCAACCTGATTTCTCGATGCATGATGTGCTTTTCATTCACCATATTTCGCAAGGTGTTACGACAGTTCTCCAATTCAAAACGTAGGACAGTAAAACTATGCGGACATTTTCTTTCATTGCCTGTTAAAACCCACAGAAAATTTTGCTGATCAAAATGACATAGTAGATTTTTCTACCCATGTTCTGGAAATAGAATAAACTTTAAACTTGGTACGCACGTAGGTATTGCGTTGCTGAGTTATTTTTGCTTCCCTCGGCAGTGAACAAGACTCATAACTTTAAAACTCAAGGATGGTGGCTTTTAAAAGCAACCTGTTAGATCAATCGATAAGAGTCCAGTGCAAAGTCAGACATTTTTTCATAGCATTATGACATATCAAATTTCCAAGTTTATATTTTGGAATGTTAACAATGAAATATCGAGGGAAAAATTACATTATAGACATGGCCCGAATGAAATCTATTCTGGTTCAATGAATATGGGAGCTCTGAAGAAAAACGCGCAGGGCGTTTCTTTGAACGCTGTACATAGCCCTCACTCATCATCCAGTCCAGTTGACATTGAAGGTTTCCGTGGAATGATAGCACTCTTACGATAGATACTGCCTCACGAACGGGTTCATTACATAGCCTTTCTTTCCCATCCTGGGGAAGCAATGAATTTTTTTTTCGTCCCCACTCTTTCTCGCTCCTACTCATTCAACTTTTGGTTCTTCTATCTCTTGCACACTTCCTCGTATAAGGAAACTATGGCATTCCACGCGTCACATACTCTTCATGCTCTGTCACTTGCAGAAGGATTTTACTTGCAAGGAAGACATTATCGAGTTTAGGAATAAATTCGGCAGACATCACCGAAAAGTCCAGGCCAGTTTCAATTTTGTGATATTCTGTGTTCAGCCAGAGGCCATAACATCCGTCATTGTCTATATCAGTCGGAGTGATGGAAAATGCATAATTTCATTGTCATTTGCTCCGTAACCCTCTCCACATTTGTCCATATCCCCTATTTCTTGCATTTGAGATAAACACGTCAATTCATTAGGAGCACCGGCTTTGCGTCACGAAACTTTACAGAAATTATGTCGACGTTTGTGGTGGCATTGACATTCGTGTCGCGCATTCCAATCAGGGGTCATTGTTTAACGTCCCAGATTGGACTTCCCGGCCAATTGTTCAACATCCCAGGCTGTGCCCATTCTTCGAATGAGGGAAAGGAGGTGGAGCCTGTCACCCGGGCCAACTTCGTTACGCGAAGAAACGCACGAAGGAGACTCACTTGTCAGCCCCTGTCAGTTTCTTTCCATCTAGTGAGGAGGCGATTAGGTCTGATCCTAGAAAGGAGAAGAGGGAGCCCGGTCCCATTGAGTTTACTCTCCTTCGTCGCCATCACCTGTTCCATTAACTGCGTCATGTGAGTTGATTCAATATTTTCCTGCCCTTCTCCCCATCGCTGTGATCGAGCGAGCTCATGAGGAATGTTCTGATATCGCCTTTGACAACAGCCTCTGCATAGCCAAGATAAATTCGCAAAAATGCATTTAATTTCTCGAACTTCACTGAAAATTAGAGAAGAGGGAGTGGCCGGAGGTGGGGTGGTGAGTTCGTGAATACGGAACCTAGGTTTTTCCCGTTAAACCAGTATTATATCACATCTATTTGGTTTAACATATTTCCCTCCTATCATTCTTAACCGCCGGAACATGGGAAATTACACCTGCATGCCATGCGAGCTTGGGAGAGAAAGAAGGCTCGTAGGACGAGCGCAACGTAGGAACAACCGATGTGACTTCACTGCCAAGTCATTATAGCTGATGGACACATCCTGACTTCGCGGCAGTCAGGAATAGTTAAACGTGAGCAATTTACTATTCCTCTTTTGACACGTTGGCGACAATGCGTCCTGATGGCAGGATGCAGGTTCCAAAAAACGTATTGTGCGCAGATATCGAGTATCTAGCGTTCCAGAAGATTATGATTTCATAATTACTGATAAAAATTCCAAAAAATTC